TGGCAAGGGACTGGTACCATTCCCACTGACCTGCTGAGGGATGTGGTCATCCCTTTCTGGAAGAGGATATGGGATCGGTGGGACAGCAATCACCGAGGCATTACACTGCTCAGTATACTGGGAAAGGTTCTTGCTCACATCCTTCTGAGACATATCAGAGACCACCTGCTGAGGCACCAGAGACTGGAGCAATCTGGATTCACTCCACAATAGACCGTGTCCTGGCGCTTCGGGTCATTGTAGAGCGCCGTCGTGAGTTCGGGCGTGGGCTGCTTGCAGCTTACATCAACCTCAAGAAAGCGTTTGATATGGTGCATCGCAAATCGCTCTGGGAGATCCTGAGACTGAGAGGAATTCCAACAAGGATTATTGGATTAGTAACAAGCCTGTATACTGGTAATGAAAGTGCTGGTGGGGGCCTGTCGAGCTTCTTCCTGTAAGTTCAAGGCTGAGACAAGGCTCTGTTCTTGCACATATACACTTTTCAACACTTGCGCAGACTGGATACTGGGTCGAGCTACTGTCCAAAGTCACTGTGGAGCAACTCTGGGCAATATCAAGGTTGCAGATCTTGACTTTGCTGATGATATAGCTATCCTTTCTGAGTCTTGTGGAAACCCAAGTTGCAGCTCTTGATGCATTTAGCAATGAAGCAAAGCCCTAGGGGCTAGAGGTCTCCTGGACCAAGATCCAGGACTTTAGGGGTCTGCTAGATCCTGTCCAGTCGGTACATGCTTGCGGGTGAGAACATTGAGGTTACAGAGAGCTTTATATACCTCAGTAGTGCAATTCATAACTTTAGGCTGTCAGACCAGGAAGTCAGTAGATGGATTGGCCTGGCAGCAGGGGTCATGAAATCTCTTGACAAGAGTATTTGGAGATGCCAAGCTATGTGTATTCAAGGCCCTGATACTGACAGTTTTACTATATGGTAGTGGAACCTGGACGCTATCATGTGCTTTGGAATTTCGTCTTGATGCCTTTTGTAACAGGTCCTTGCACCGAATCATGGGGTACAGCTGGCAGGATCATGTGTCCAACCAATGGTTGAACCGTGAGATTGGTACAAGACCTGTTACAATCCGCCCACCAGGTTCTCTCTGTTCGAAACAACCCCGGGTGGAGGAGGCCTGGGGGACAACCTTTGAAGTTGTAGCTTGGGCAGAGCAATCAAACCTGTCGTGAAGAGCTAGAGATGGGTTGGACCCTGCCTGGTGGCTTACCATGTGGGATCCCCGTATGTGGAAACGAAGAGAGGATGCAGCTATGCGCATAGCTCCCCATTGATGAATAATGATATATATATATATATATATATATATATATATATATATATATATATATATATATATATATATATCATTATTCATCAATGGGGAGCTATATATATATATATATATATATATATATATATATATATATATATATATATATATATATATATATATATATATATATATATATATGTATATGTATACATATATGTGTGCATATGAATATATGTATATATGTATGTTTTTCATGTACGTATGTATGTGTATATAATTAAATGTAAATTACACATTACTATCATCATTATTTGTCATGCCTCCCAGGTGGTCCATGAGGCACTATACCATATCATTCATTGGTATTCAAATTAAATTTTCCATGGCTGACCCTCCCAAATTTCCTACTACTTGCATGTGCATCTGGGGAATCCCAGTGTTGTGGAAACAGTAGCATGGTGCAAAATCTTGAATATATATATATTTTTTTATAATTAATCAGTTTAGAATGAAGTGTAATGTATGCACAGAATAATATATAAAATAGTCAAATTAAAAATGGGTGAAAAAGAAGCTTGAAAGGTGTGTGCATTGTAGCTGGTGTGGGATTATTTTTTCCATTGGCATCACATATCATGTTTTCTGTTTATAATTTATTATATCAATTTTGTACATTGATATAATAATAATAACTGACAAAATGCAAAACAATATTAGTATTATTGTTGTTATTACTCTTCATATTTTTCTTTATCGTTCATAGTTATGATAATTTTCATCATTAATTCCATCATTTTATTTTATATTATCATTTTGATCATGAGTGGTGTTATTGTTTTTCATTACTGCAGTAACATAACAACAAAGATCATACCTAGATATGTGAAGGAAAGACCTACATGGAAGAACTGGTATGGGTACATTACTAGGTGAGAGATACACACAGCTTTTCTGAATCACTTTATACTGCAGCTTTGTTACAAGAATCATAATGACCAAATTGGGCAGTGAGTAACTGGACTAAGGAGATGCACATCCATGCACCCTTACATACACAATCATTATGTCCCCATCACTACAACCATAATGTTCTGTACAGTCTTACCAGTCTCAGGGAATACAGGGATAAACACTTGGAGTTGGTGTGAATTGTCTAGTGAGGACAATTTGGATGAATACCCATGTGTCCCATGTGCCAAGGTGAAATCTGTAGTAGCTGTTACATTATCCCCTCCAGTTCAGTTCAGTGAGACCAGGCCAGGCCTTATATACATGTGGCCCAGCCCTATCCCCTCCTTCAACAAACAGCACAACCTTGGCCATGCTAAATAATGATACAACACTTCCCCCTATAGCATACTAATATAAAAAAATAATAATTAATAATTAATCTAAAAAAATAAATAAAACCTAATAAACAAAAAAATAGAGATAAATATCTATACCTACTCTCCTTCTATGTTCATCTATGTTCACTATCAAACAAGGTGGCAAAGCAGAGAATAAAGGCCTCAATTTCTTGTATTTTCTTTTCCCAGGCCAAACCTTTTCTTCCCCTTTTAATTCTTTGTTCTATGCAATAGCTTCCTGTTTGTCATCAGCTGTAGTTTACCTGAAGCCCCTGATTCCTGTGGATGGTTATTGGTTAATAGTTAAAACAAATAAAACATCAAGATCATATAGCACTACGGTAAAGTACAGTAGCAAAAAGGGTTAGAAATGAGTTATTGATTTGGGTAAAGTTTATAGGGTATAGTATATGGTAAGGTGTTTGTGTGTTGTTAGAAAGGGAAGGAGTTAAGGAGGTGATTCCCATGGAAGGATCCCTTGCTGATGCTGCAAATCACCTTAACTATCAGCTCCTCCCAATGACACTGCTGCCTTGGTGAGAGGCCTTTCTGTTGCCGGAAAGTGCCAAGCCAGTTAAATTACCCTCAGCAAGAACCACAAAGTTGGTGCCTCACTCATACTACTACTTCCTTGACTTCCTAGCATTTCCAGGTTGTGCCTCACCTGGTTTCCTGCCTCCACCAACTGCTCCTTCTGTGCCACAGACTACCTGGGGCAGCTGCTTGTTCCTCCAGCTGCCTCATCACACCCTCCAACATACATGTAGTATTGTGCAATTCGTACACTACTCATTGCTGGTTCCTGTCTTAGCTTGTCTCATTTCTCTTTCATTTCAATTCCACCTTTCTTTCACTTTCCTCAAATGCATTTTGTCTCTCAGCACTTGCATCCCTAAGTCTTCTTCCTCACGACTTGAAGTCCTTCACTGCTTTGTTTCAACAGCAAGCATTATCACAAATGTTTGCTAAGAGGTTTTCAGCTGCATATGTCTTAAATACATGGAATTTAGGTATAAAAGGATATAATTAATAATTAATACAAAACATTATATAAATGTATGCATAATACTGTTACAAAACATCCCTTATGATGATAAAGCTTCTCCTAAGTATGTAATGCTTTATGATTTACTAGATGATGTCTGCAAGTGAATGACTTTTTACACAAGTCACAGACAAATGGTTTTTCTTTTGTGTGTACTCTAATATGCCTAACTAGAGTGCCTTTCACAGAGAATGCTCTATTGCAAATATCACAGACATAAGGCTTTTCTTTTGTATGCACTCTCATGTGCCTGACCAGAACGCGTTTGTCAGAGAACCCTCGACCACATACATCACACTCAAAGGGTTTCTTTTTGCATGCACTCTCATATGACTCACTAAATTACTTTTCCAAGAAAATGATTTGCTACAGACATCACAACTAAAAGTTTCTCCTTTGTATGAACACTCATGTGCTGAACTAGATTGCCTTTCAAAGAGAATGGTTTACTGCAGACTTTACAGATATATGGTTTCACTTCTTTGCTTGTTAACATTTTATATTTTACCTTGCGATGATCCACCTCTGGGGTTGCCTCTTCACTATTTGAAGGGTCTGTGTCCCCAGAGTCACTAATCACAGTTGGTCCCACATGTAATGGATCTCCATCATCTGAGTCACTTTCACTTCCTTCCATATTTGCAAAATTTGTTTCTACTGATACTGGACACATATCTGTATGCACATCTTCAGCCTTTATATAGACAGCATTCTCTTCATCTGTATCATCACTTATTTCTGTCGTTCTGGGGTAATTTTCCTCACTGATGTCTTCAGTATATTCTTCCTTAACAGCACTGAATTCGACTATCTCATCATGCAGTTTTGTTTCTAAACTTTGATCATCCATGATGGCAGTTGAAGTCATCCACTCTCTATCCATAAGGATCTCTGGGAAAAGAAAGACTGTGATGAATTACCATTTCACATTAACATGTATAAAGACACAAACAAATACATATATGTATATTTATATATATAATGTATATAACACACACACACACACACACACACACACACACACACACACACACACACACACACACACACATGCGCGCGCGCGCACGCACATGCACACGCACACGCACACGCACATATATATATCTCACTTTGGCATTTTGTAAGAGGTGATGGTTGGGGGTCTTGGACAGGTGTTGGCTGAGAGGTGGCAGCTGGTGCTGCAGATGCTGGAGGAGGCTGGGGATCTTGAGCAAGAACTCCATTGAGCAGGTCATCTTCTGACTGTAATCTTTCAAGGGCCTCTGGAGGAAGTCTCAATGATGCCAGACCCACCCTAGGATCAGTGCCAAACAATGCTTTGAATGGAGTGCGCTTGATACTGGAATGATGAGCAGAGTTCTTTTGGTACTGAACAAAACGAAGGCCGACAGCCCAATCGTGTGTCTTGTTGTTTGCCATCCATGCACGCAACATGTCCTTGATGTCCCCATTGGCTTGTTCTACTGAACCCTGGCTTTGTGGATGCCTTGGATTCCCATGGACCAGGATGAGTTGTGGCCAAAGTTCTTTCAACTCTGAGATGACTTGAGCTGTGAATTCGGAACCACTGTCACTTTGCAGTATGGCAGGAGGTCCAAACAGAAGGAATATGTCTAGCAGTTGAAAGGCAACTTCAGCAGCTCTCTTCGATGCAAGTGCTCGAAGTATGACAAACTTGGTGAGGTGGCACTGGTAGACCATGACCCACCTGAACTGAGCCTGAGGCAATGACTGCATATCCACAAGGTCAACTTGGCCACGCGAGTTCAATTCATTGCTCACGAGGGGCTTCACAACAACCCCAGCAGTCTTACTTTGCTTCCTCTTTTCTTGGCATGTGGTGCAATAAGACTTGAATAATTCAAGAGCTTCTTTGGTGATGTTAGCATACTTTGCCCCAAGACTGCACTTCATTTTGTCCCGTCCACCGTGCCCTGTCGCAATGTGTGCCCTCTTGATGATGTCATAGGTATCCTCGATGGTCACATAGTAGATTGGGGATTCATCTACACTCTTGCGTTTCTTAATCAGCTTTTCCCTGTCTCCACACTTAAGAACTTCATACCTGCAAAGAATAATGTTCTGAATAATGCAAATAAATACAGTAGTGAAAAAGTTACTCAGTACCAAATTTCTACAGTACATAGACTATAGTAATTGAAAATCATAAGCTGAAGAATAAATCCATTTTCTGCTGAACCTACTGTATGAACTGATCTTGAAGATCCATGACATAAGAATATAATGGAGTTTTATAGAAAAAAAAAAAATAAATAAAAAATAAAATCCTCTCCCTTCCCCATTTCTTCATTTAAGTATAAAGTGTACAATATACACACTTACTTCCATTCAATTGCTAGAATTGTTGTTGCAACATGGAATAATTGTTATATCACTTCCATTGTAAAATATCCCATAAATATCAACTTTGAGATTGTCTGCTGTTTCCCTTGTGTTTCAATGCAACCTGTGAATTTTAAATAAGAAACTTACTTCTGGAGAATGTAGTAAATACGCCGAGACTTGGATGATGGGTTCTGCGCTGAAGTCTTCAGTTCTTCAATGGTGTTATAATAGACATTCTCTGGCATCAAGTACTTCGGACATTGCCGATACTTTTGGAATAACTCCTCTCTAAAATCTGCCTCGAACTGGTCTTGCTCCTCTGTCATCCCAGCCATTTTCACACACAATGCTAATTTTCTCTTATTTTCTCAGTTTATACGTTTTTTTTCTCTTTCTCTCTCTTTATTTTTTTTCTATTGAGCTTTTAACACTACACACGTCTCTTCTTATTTTAATCTTCTCTGTCTGACTTTCTCTTCATCTTGTTGTCTGTTATGCAAGATCTGTAGAGGAAAGAGAGAGGAGGGGGTTTAAAAAAGAGAAAGGGGAGGCTACATGGTAAAACACACACACACACACACACAAATATATAGACAGATAGAGCAACAGATATCTATATATAGAAATATATATACTTAAATATATAATATTACATTATATGTGTATCTATATATATAAATAAATAAATAAATGTATATGTGTATGTGTGTGTGTGTGTGTGTGTGTGTGTGTGTGTGTGTGTGTGTGTGTGTGTGTGTGTGTGTGTGTGTGTGTGTGTGTGTGTGCGTGCGTGTGCGTGTGCGTGTGCGTGTATATGTGTGTATGTGTGCGTGTGTATATATGTGTGCGTGTGTGTGTGTGTGAGTAAAACAAATATATATATAAATAAACATATACATATAAATAAACACACACATGCATACACACACGCAAGCATGCACACGCACATGCACACACACATATATTATATATATATATATATACATATACATGTGTGTATATATGTATATGTATATATGCATATATGTATATTATATATATATGTATATGTATGCATATGCATATATGCATATATATATATATATATATATATATATATATATATATATATATATATATATATATATAATATATATATATATATTTTATATTATATATATATATTTTATATTATATATATAATATATACACATATAAACATACATATACATATACACACACACACACACAAAAACACATTCAGTGCTCATCATTTGATATGAATTTATAGTGTTTATAAACTCATATCAAATAAACTGTATTGTGGTTGGGAAGGCAACAAGCCTCTTACCTCCCTCTAGCATGCAGGTGGAACAATCAAGGAGTTCTACTTGTAATAACTAATAAATGTGTACTCAATATCATACAGCATCTGGCGTAAATCAGGAATTTATATCTCATGAAAATATACTTTTTTATGGATACTGTGATAAAAGTTGGAACTGTAAAATAGATTTACAGTATATTGAATTTCTAGAACAATAACAATGGTTGATAATATCATCACGATCTACATGCATGAAGATTATTTAAGCAATTTTACCACACAGGCTCCATAAATCCCCTGTTGTGAGGCTTGGTTAGGACAGAGAAATGTGCGAGGCAAATGGAAACTCTGGCGTCATTTGCCACACTACATTGTCTGTTATGGTGACCTACTACTGGCAATGTGCAGATTTAATCTTGAAACACTTATCAGCTTCTCTTCCTCTGTGTGATTGGCTTGTCTAGGCAACCATCAAATGAAACTCAAACTTATTATTGAAACTGTTTTTTGCTGTGCTAGCAATTATAGCATCACCTCTTTACTGCATTTCTAGCTTTCATAAAATTTGTAAGACTCCAATATGATACTTAGCATAATGTAGTTTTGTGGATGTATTAACATCACAAATCACTGCCTTGTGGCTTAGAAGGTAAACTCTGTGTATGGTAAACTAACTCAGACAATCTTGCAGCAAGGACCATGCCAAGATTAAAGAAAGACTGTGGCAATTGCAATGGAAGAACACATTCTACAAAACTTTTGAACATAAACATAACCTGGAGTGACATATGAAGTTATTTATCAAAGACCCAAAGAGGCCAACACACTCTCACCTTGTCTCTTGGGAGAGTACGTGGAGGCCTCCAGCAATTTATTATAAAAATATGGACTAGTCTCAGAAAATGCTCGTAAAGATTTGCTAGTTTTTGCCCGAGCACCGAATAAGCAGTATTAGACTCAACGATCCAATGTGCTATGAATTGATATCAACTATCCCTTTCTAGCCTTCAGGAACTTCATTAAGGAAAATCTGGCCACATGCTAAGCACGATCGTTAAATAGAATGGGACTCACCTCAGCGACAACCAACCAGCTTCACTCTCTCCTTTCTTCTTTTATAGGGTTTCACTCTTTTTATCTATATCCCCTGAAACCTTTTTATGAATCTTTCTCCTTCTTATATCTATAATTTTTGTTTTATGTATGAATATTTTGGTATTTCTCAGTATGTAGGACTTCTGATCATCTGGCAGATCTTCTCCTGTAATCAGAAGTTTTACATTTGGATTAATTAATTTTTATTTTCTTTAATGCTTCTGGCAATATCACTCTACTAGAACTAAAAATTGTCCAGTAGAGGAAAAGGTGTTCCTCTGCTTCTTCTTGAATTTTACTAAAAAAAAATTTGCATAAAAGATCAGTTTCAATTTTTATTGTAATTTTCTATTTTTTGATCTTGTCCTTGGTTGGGGGCTGGTGGTTTATGAATAGTAATTCTTTGCATCTAGGGCATTATTCAAATATTCTTCCCAATTCTTTTGGTTTTTATCTTCTTTTATTACATTTGAAATGTCTTTGGTTATATTTAAAGCTTATATTATGAGTTATTTTTGCTGCAAGGTCTGCCATTTCATTACTTTTCATGTTTTTGTGTGCTGATATCCACTGTATTATTATCTGTCGTTTGTTTTGTGTTAGGTTACAAATTATTGATTGTATCTCAAATATAATGTGTTTGTAGTTTTGGGGATTAGTGTTTTGTACGCATTGAACTGATGATTTAGAATCTGTGTATATCACCGAGTTTTTCAATCAACTCGGCTACTATCATTTGGGATTCTTTCTGTAATTTCCTGATTGTTGTCATGTTTTTGTCTTTGATGTAAATTGCTGCTGAGGTAGAAATAACTTTTTTTTTTTCTATTCCCTAATTGACTGTGTTATCAATTTTTTAATTGGCATAGTTTCTTGCTTTTGTACATTTTTTTCCATTTGAATACATTCTTGTTGTTTTATTTGTCTGAAGATTGTATTTGTTAAGGCTTGTAAAGCTATTATTGGAGTGGACCTAAAACAACCTGTGGCTAGTTTTGTTGCTTTATTTTGTCTAGTTTCTAACTTTTTTAAATCTGTATTTTTTACTGTTCCATATGTTGTGGAACCATATATTTCTGGTTTCATATAGATATTATAAAATCTTATCAAGTGTTTCCCTTTTTGCTCCCCATGATAATGTAGATAGTTTTTTATTATATCTATTCTTTATTGAGTTGAAGTTTTAATTTCATTTATATGTGATTTCCAATTTAGTTTTGGGGCATCAAATTCTAATCCTAATATATCATGGTTATTTGTGAATGTTAGTTTTTCATTATCTATACTAATTTCTGGTATGGTTGGAATTCATTCATTGGTGAAACACGGGAGTTTACTTTCTGTTATATTAATTTTCTGATCCCATCTATCAGTCCATTCTTTTATGTTTTTAACTGCACTTTTCAAGATGTTAGTAGCCTTTAAAATATCTTTGTTTCAGGAAACTGGTGTGACGTCATCTGCATAAATTATTTTACAGGTTTCCTTTGGGAGGCTCAGATCTGACATTAGTATGTTGAATCGTGATGGACTTAAACGTGAGCCTTGAGGTACTCCCTTTGATACTTTTTTTTTTTTTTTTTTTTTTTTTTTTTTGATTCTTTTTCTCCTATTGTTATGTTATATTTTCCAAGAAATTCTTAAAGTATCTTAGAGGTGAGCCCTTGATTCCTAGTTTGGCTGCCTTTATTATAATTGCATAGTGGTTGGCTGAATCAAAAGCCTTTTCTAGATATAAACAGGCAACCAAAGTGTATTTTCATTTAATGTTTTATTTACTACCAATTCAATCATTTAGATTTTGCCAGTGGTTGATCTATTTGGTCTGAAACCTGTTTGATCTTCGTCTAGTTTTCTATGTGTTTCTAGCCACCAATGAATTCTCCAATTTATGTTTTCATATATTTTTCCTATGCAAGAAATTCTACTGATGAATCTATAAGACCTTATATGTTGTTTTTTTTTCCCCTGGTTTTATTATTGAGTTTATCAACATTTTTTTATTCATCTGGGTATTCACCTTTAACCCCTGGTCATTAGTTTCTTTTAGAATTAATCTTAGTATCTTGTCTGGTGCCTTTATGTAAAATTCATATGTGGTTTTGTCTGGCCCATATGCCTTTCCATTCTTGGTTTGGTTTAATGTTCTTTTTAAGTCTTCCATTGTTATTTTATTTATTTTTTTAGATTTATAGTATCAGGGCAGTTTAGTAGTGCATCTAAGTATACTTTAGTAGATATCATTTTTGGTTCTTTTCCAATCATCTTTTTATGTTCTTATTTGAATAAAGCTAGTTTATTATTCATATTTGTAATAAGGAGGTCATTACTTATTATGGGGTAGCTCTGATTTGATATTTTGCCTGTCTGCTTCTTTATAAAATTCCAAACTTTTTTAGTTTTTTAGGTTTTAAGATTTAAATCATTACAAGTTTTCCCAGGCCTTTCTCTCTTCGGTTTCTATTACTCGTCTACATTTAGGTCTCCCATGATAAGCTTTGGTTCTCTAATTGGTTTGAATAATGTTCAATTTCTTGTCTTAAAATATTATTACATGGGTAATAAATTAGTAAAACATACAGCAGTTTGTTGTTAGAAGGTATTTTAATAGCTTGTACAAGTTTATGTTCTTGATTATCATCAAATTTTATATCTTTATATTGAAGAGAGTTTTTTACACAGAAGGCTAGACCTCCACCTCCACCTTTGCCTTTATCTTTTAACTATGTTTTGCATAATGCTATTGTATCTGGGTTTTCTTTATAAATAAAATAGTTTATTTCAGTTTCTTTGATTATTATTGAACTTATGCTTTTAACAAAGGTCCTATATTTAGTAGCACTTCTGAAATTATTGAAATCATTGATTTCCCTGTCTTGTGTTTTGGAGGTTGAATTGTGTCCTGTTTGTGTTTTCGTGCAGTGGTCTTACTTTTGAAAGGTTATATACGACTCAAACCTCAAAGCTTTTGCTTATTCCAAGGTCTCTCGGGCCATTTTCTTATATGTACTTAAGGATTTGTTTATTGTTTGTTTATTATTATTCAGATTTGTTTATTATTATTTGGATTTATTTGTTTATTATTATTTGGATTTGTTTATTATTCGGTTTTGTTTATTATTATTTGGATTTGTTTATTGTGTCTGTGTTAGTTTTGACAGGACGGTTAGTGTCTAAGGCATACGATTCCCTCTTGTAACTGAAACAGAATTACTATTTTGTTGGGTTTCTACTTGCGTTTCAGAGGAGAGGTTGTTGTTTGTTGTTATTGTTCTGTTTGGGGGGAAAACTGAGGGCTTCCTGGTCCGGCGGGAAGTTTAAATGAACTGTTTATCATAATTTAATTTATTATTATAATTTAATAGTGCATTTAAATTTAAAAGTTTAATTTGTTCCACATTTCCGAGGGAGTTTTCGAAAGTGGGTCTTCGTTTCCCCCCCCCCCCGAGTTCTTTCATTTATTTTCCCCCTTTTTTGCTTTCGTTAGAAGTTTCTGTTTCTGTTTATAGATTTCATGATCTTCTCATGTATGTGGGTATTTTTTTCCCCACTTCAGTCTGATAAGTTTGAGGAAACACACTGTTACTTCTACGGTGTCTAGTCGTCGACTCGAGCTTCGCTTTGAATCAGCTGTTTGGTGTAAACAAATCAGGACGACAACGAACGCAAAGCCTTACTGGGATACAGAGAATAACAATAATAATAATAATAATAATAATAATAATAATAATAAAGAAAACGAGGTAACAAATGACTACAGTAATGAAATCAACGAATAGGATAAATAATAACAGCAATACAGTATAAAAAGAAAAGTAAAGGCAAGTTTTTTTTTTTTTCAAAAATAAGCTGGCCATAACGAGCGCAAAACCTCTTCATCGAAATACCATGACTTTTATAGCAGTGCATTAAAATTTGATTCTTGTTGAGACAACTAATGCGTGACAATATACAAAGAATATATTCTTTGCAACACACACACACAAACAAACGGAAACACACACACACATATACACATATATGTGTATATGTAGCATATTGCAACCAAAATAGAAGTGATAACTCATCCAAATGTCTTATAATTCTATAAAATTCAATATCGGTCATGCATACGTGGATGTTTTAAACTTAAAGGGATGCCAGAAAGTGCCAACTAGGTCTCCTAGGCCTCATCAACATGTTAAATAAATTCATAAGGTCCCAATGCTCATCGAGAGTGCCACAGTAGATAGAATCAGAGAAAAAAAAATCACTTCCGACCAAGAAAAGAATACCAAATTACGATACCATTAGGAAATGGCAAGCATCACCGGTTCCCATACCCATAGGACGCCGAGCAACTGCCAAATCACACGGTTATTACAGTTCAGTTTCCCCTCAAATAGATTCCCTACGGAAGAACCAAACCGCCAGTATGTAAGTACAGTACATCACAAAATCAGGTAGGTCAAAACATAGTTCCCTTAAAGCGCAAATATAATCAGCCATTCGACAGAAGTCCCACCAGATAAGCTATGCATTAACAAAGCGTAATTCAAGCGATGGCACCTCAATCGAGTGCCAGACGCTGACCCCGTGACCCGCGGCCGGCCGAGGGCGCAGGCCGGTAGGCTTAGCAACCGCTAAGGAATGCGACACCTCTCCGAAAAACTGCCAGATACAAAAATCACCTTTCTAACTCCCTCTAACCCCAAACCCCATCCTTACCCAATCCATCCTGAATCCTCCTCTCCCATATCATCCGCCTTCCCCAGCCCCTAGGCTTTAAGCCTATATTCTATGAACATTATAATGCATGGGCTCATTTTAATGGAGTGCGTGTGTGTGATCATGCAGACACTGTTCAAACGTTTGTGCACGAGTATGAGTGTGTATACATAGTAGTGCGCTGATGCATAAAAATTGTGTGTAATCCATGTGTCTGTGCAGGAAAGAGAATCAATATAAACGTGGATACGTGGATATATGTATATGTGCGTGTGTGCGTATGCATTCATATGGGTGTATTTATATTATTGCATGTATATGCGAGTATGTACATGTGTATGTACATATATGTTTCTGTGGAGATGCGTATATATGTGCATAAGTAGAAGTGTTTATGTAGGTATATGGGTATATGTATGTACGTACATATGTATGAGCAGTCATGTGTGTATGTACATATGTGTGTATGTTGGTGGATATATGCATGTGTATGCATGTGGTTATATGCATGTGTGGATATGTATATATGTGTAATGTATGTATATGTGTGCATATATTTGTATATGTATATGAATGTATAGATATACATATATGTGTGTATGTGTATATGTACGTATGTATGTGTGTGTGCATGTATGTATACATAATTGTATGGGTATTCATAGTCATAGGTATGCATTCAAGGTATGTGCCCACGAATACGAGTGCGTGGATGAGTACTTACATATGTATGCGTATATGACGTGCGCGTATGTTTATATATGTGTATGCATGCGCATAGGTGTAGTGGTGCAAAATGATATGCTCCCTTGCATATCATATGCATAAGAGCATTGCAAAGGCGTACGCTTTCATGTGATAGTGCACGAAATGACCATATGCGTAGTACTTAGGGCATTTGCGGATGAGCAACTATGTCTGCACTGAGCACACATACGCACAAATAAAATCAGTGTATAAAATACAACCACACTTATACGCACTTCCGATACTCAAGCCCATGCTCACGGGAGTATACCCTGGTGTAATGAGCAGGCCCGTGTGTTACTGGTTATAAGTCCACACTAGACAGGCCCAGTCTTGCTGGAGGGGCTTATCAGTGGCATCCCGGCTAAAATACTCCCTCTCCCACCAAGATACACTTAGGCCAGTAGGCGGGAGGTAATTCGGCTGTCTACCTCACAATCGAAACCCATGACTGCACAAACAGAGCAACGGCCCTCATTCCCCGGAAGCGAAGGAGCCCCTGGTTACGGCGGCGATCAGGATCGCTCCGGAGCAGAGGGTGCTAAGAATCTCCGGCCAAGAACAGGCCGCCCCACGTTGATGAACCTTTGCACATATAATATAAGGACAATGAGAACGGAATCCGACTTACTAGCATTACTTGAAGAACTCTCTTTCATTAAATGGGATGTTGTAGGACTCAGTGAGGTTAGAAGACTAGGCGAAGAACAGAAGATACTAAATGATGGACACGTGCTCTATTGGAGAGGTAAACCTCAGGGTAGCAAGCAAGAATTAGGGGTAGGTTTCTTAGTTCACAGACGTTTAGAAAAGAATATCGTAGAATTCCATAGTATAAGCGAAAGAGTGGCTTCAGTAACAATAAAACTTAATAATAGGTACAACTTAAAGATTGTTCAAGTCCATGCTCCAACCTGCAGCCACAGTGATGACGAGATAGAAAGCTTCTATGAAGATGTTCATTTAGCCAGCGAAGGAGTAAAAACCCATTTCACAATAATTATGGGTGACTTCAATGCCAAAATAGGTAAAAAGACAGAAGGAGAAACCGTAGTGGGGAATCACGGAATAGGCACTAGGAACGAGAGGGGACAAATGCTAGTCGACTTTGCGGAGGCTCGATCTCTCAATATCATG